ATGAATTTTTGGGAGCCCCCTCACCATTTTATTTTTTTTTTGGCATGTGGTTCATCTTAAAATCCATAGCAGACCTAAAGGTCTGGTATGGATTTTGGGAAGAACTCTGTGCCATTTTTATTTTTAATTTTTTAACTTCAACGTGGGGTTCCCCTCAAAAATCATACCAGACCCTTCAGGAATGGGGGGGGCACGCCTTTAAAAAAAATTTAAAAAAAATTAACCGGTACTTCTTTTGTTTACATTCTGTTGACAGTGGGGAATCCCATTGCCAGCAAATGAGTCATGGTTTTCAAGGTAGTGGCAGCCGCCTTGCCAGCCGCTCCTTAACAACCAGGGCTTTTCTGAATGAAATTAAACAAATACCAAAGATACAAAAGAAATTCCAAAAATGAATAGGTCTATTAACAAATGCATCCGAAAAATTAGTTCTTCAGTTTACAAATGGATCCGGAAAAAAAAAAAAAACATTTTCTGGCATGCACATGTCTGTTTGCAATGGTACTTGTACAATCCCTGCCAGTACTTTCAGAGTTCCTTAAAATTATGCTGGGCATGTCCTCTGAACAAATAGGATATTTAAGCTTTAGCTTTTTAAGTGGCTGGTGCTGTGTCTCCTCACTAGCTACCCCTTGTTGCAAGAGCTATAACATGTACAATTATGGCCAAAAATATTAGCACCCCTGTATTTCTGTCAGATAATGCACCACTTCGCCCAGAAAATTGTTGCAATTATAAATGTTTTGGCATTCTCATGTTTATTTCTTTTGTTTGCATTGATATGACACAAAAACGTGGAGAAACAAAAAGCCAAATCTGACACATTCCACTCAAAACCCCAAAAATGGACTGGACAAAATTATTGGCACCTTCTCAAAATTGTAAGAATTAATTGCATTCCTAGTTTGTGATGCTTTTGTACAATTAACAGACATTAATTTTCCTGTGTCCACTATACGCAACATTGTCAAGAAGTTTACAGGCCATGGCACTGTAGCTAATCTCCCTGAATGTGGATAAAAGAGGAAAATTGATCAAAGATTGCAATGAAGGATTGTTTGAATGGTAGCTAAAGAACCTTGGTTCTTCAGGCACAGGGTACAAATGTATCAGCTCACACTATACATCACCATCTGAATGAAAAGGGACTCTACGGTAGGAGACCCAGGAGGACGCCACTGCTGACACAGAAACATAAAAAGCCAAATTGGAGTTTGCCAAAACTTACCTGAGGAAGCAAAAATACTTTTGGGGGAATGTGCTGTGGACAGATGAAACAAAATTACAGCTTTTTGGTAGAGCCCATCATTCTGCTGGTTTCAGAAAAAGCAATGAGGCCTTTAAAGAAAAGAACACAGTCCCTACAGTCAAATATGGTGGAGATTCCCTGATGTTTTGGGGTTGCTTTGCTGCTTCAGGCACTGGATATCATGACCGTGTGCATGGCATTATGAAATAATGAAGACTACCAAAGAATTCTGGGGTGCAATGTAGGGCCCAGAGTCAGAAAGTTGGGTCTCCGTCAGAGGTCATGGGTCTTACAGCAGAACATGGACCCAAAGCACAATTCATATAGTACCCAAAAATGGTTTCAGACAAAGTGCTGGAGAGTACTGAACTGATCTATGCCGGACAAGGGTGTGTGCCCCTACCCACCATCTGGCCAATTGATGAATCTAAAATATAACCATTATTCAGATATATATAAAATGTATGCTACGCTGTAATTAATACCTGTTGGAGTGGAATGTATTGCGCACAACAGTATGACAATTACAGTTATTTACCTTACATCCAAATGGTTATTAACACCAGACCAGATCAAATACCATATCGTTTTAGATGAAGTTACGGCATAAAGAAGACAATGTAGTTTGATCATAAGCCTATCAGATGGAATATATAATCTCTACTAAGGATATGAAGTTACCCCGTGGACAGAACTAATTGGATAGTACAATCTGTCTTGCAACAGATATGCAATACGGGTACACTCAGATTTGTTATTTGACAAAGATGATGATTTACCATTAGGGCTTAGTTCAATAGTTAAGAGTACTGAACTGGCCAGCAATTAGTCCAGATCTCAATCCCATAGAGCTCCTTTGCATAGATCTCAAAACAGCTCAAAACTGTTGGAAAAGGAACCCTTTCAATCTGAGAGACCTGGAGCAGTTGGCAAAAATAGAGTGGTCAAAATTTCCAGTAGAGAGGTGTAAGAAACTCATTGATGGCTACAGGAAGCGATTGATTTCAGTTATTTTTTCCAAGGGGTGTGCTACCAAATATTACATTGAGGGTGCCAATAATTTGGTCCAGTCCATTTTTGGGATTTTTGCGTGGAATGTGTCAAATTTGGCTTTTTGTTTCTCTATTTTTTTGTGTCATACCAATACAAACAAAAGAAATAAACATGAGAATGCCTAAACATTTGTAATTGCAAAAATTTTCTGGGCGAAGTGGTACATTATCTGACAGAAATGCAGGGGTGCCAATATTTTTGGCCATGACTGTACCTGTGAGACTGACTGACAATTGCTGCCCCAAAATTTACCCAACTATTATTCTGATTGCCACTTGCTAAGACCCCTGCCTGGATCTAACTACTCTTCTGTTTGCTAGCTGCCAAGATCCCTGCCTGGACCTGAATACTCTTCATCTTGCCTAGACTCCTGCCTGGACCATAATACTCTTCTGTCTACCATCTTGTACTGCACTCTGGTGAAAGCTGCAACAAGCAAACCAGGACAAGTAGGGTCTCTATCTCATCTCAACTTTAGAAACTCTGGTGATGACAAACTGTCACTCAGACCCTGTGTCTAAAATGAGCTTGTGTTATCTGCAAGGGGGCCACCATAACTGAAAAGCCCTGTTTGCCCCAGCAAAGAAAGCTACGCATCAGATAGGAAAATCTTCTACCTCTGTAGTTTCTTTAATCTCTCCCAGTCCTCAAGGTCCAAGCACACCAACAATTCAGGCTCAGGGGATGTCTTTTTAGTATTTATTGCTGAAGAACTTTAACAGGAAAGGGGTTTAGGGTTACATGATACTCCAAAACGAATAGTAGCAATAATGGAGGACAAATCTCTCTAATCTTCCAAGAACAGCTTTTTGGAGGTAACAGGGAATGGCCAATATATTAAGTAACAGTCTATGTAGCAACCTCTGACACTAAGTTCATTTATAGCACATGCACACCCTAAAGTCTACAGCAGAGTCTTTACTCACAATGTCCCAGGAGCTGTCTTCCACCCAGTATCATCCACAGCTAGATCCTCCATGAGGGAGATAAAAGATCCTTTCTCCAGACCAGGACTTCAGGATAGTGCCCTCCAGCAAAAATCCTATAGCAATCTCCACTAGGCCCTCAACCCAGCTCCTTCTCAGGTCCAGACTGCAACTCCTTAACTCACTTCAGCTATTTCTAGAGGCAGCAACCCCCTAAAGACTTGGAACCCTCCTGGGTAGAAAGAACAATCTTTAAAACTATTTATCATCTCCCCAACCATCTCCAGAGATTGACTAGAGCATGACAAAATATTCAGACTGGTCATTTGAATTCTCTCTCCCTGTTTTGGAAGCTTCTTCCAAAGCCAGGAGGAAGCAGTCAAACTCCCAGCCTGTGAACCCCTGAACAGACCAGAAGTAACAATTGTTCCTCTGTTTACTGCCAAAGACTAAATCTACCTAGCAACCTAATTAGGAGGGTGCTACATCAGCAGACCTCCATGCTGCTTTGACACAACTCCTGTCTTGGGGAGGTATGATCCCAGAAAAAGTAGGGTTTCGAGGTTTCTGTTCATATCTGTTCACTGTCCCCAAAGCAAAAGGGGGCATTTTCTAAAGGCACTCAACATCTTCATTCAGATGCAAATAAGCAGCATGGAATCTATCCAGTCAGTCTACGCTTCGCTCCATCTAGCCTCTGTGGACATAACGATGCCTACTTTCCAGCACATCAATGCTATCTGCATTTTGCTGAGGGCATGCATCCCTACTAGTTCCTTTTGGTATGTCCACTGCACCTCAGATCTTCACCAGGGTGCTATCCCATGTACTTGTTATGCTTCATTCACAGTGCTTACTCATATTGGGATATTTGAATGGCATTCTCCTGAGGGAACATTTGGCACAGACCATGTCTGTCAATGTCCATCAAACTATTTAGACTATGCAGAGGTTGAGTTGGGTCCTAAACCTTCAGAATTTAGGGCTGAAAATGACCCCTTACTTCGAGTATCTAGGTCTCCTAGATATGGCGTGGTCCAAATACCAGCTTGATAGGTGAAAAAGTTCTGGACATCCTTTTGCTAGAGAAAGAAATATGAACCAACATTTACGCTCAGATTTTAAACAACAAAAATAAATAAAAGCAGCTTGCACATATACAGGCAATATTATAATGTAAATTAAGAAAATGCAAAGCTAGTTATATAATGATCTTATGTCACTTTAAATAAAGTCCATATATGTATTGAAATGAATGGAAGCATATGCATAAAGCGAAAAGTTTGATCCAAACAACTGTCACCATACAGCCGAAACAGATTGGCCTCTCACCAGACAATTTGACCGCACAAAGTTGGTCAACATGCGCAGTGTGATATAACATCAATATAGCAATCGATCCTCAATAGAGACCCCCTCCAGAATGAAAAGTAGCTTCTCCACCTTCAATGATCTCCAAATGACAGAAACTCCCATCTGATGGTTAGGGAATGAATAAAGAGGAAAAGCAACTAGTGTAGTATTTAACCTCTTGCCGACCGCGCATAGCCGAATGGCGGCTTCACCGCGGCCGGCCAGTTCTGGGTGGACGTCATATGACGTCCTCCCAGAACGCGCTCTCCTGCGCGCCCCAGGGGGCGCGCACCCGGCGATCTCCATGATCGCTGTGTCCTACGGACACAGCTGATCACGTGATGTGGTAAAAGGCCAATCACAGCGGCCTTTTACCACCTGATCAGCGGTGTCCAATGACACGCTGATCAGAGGGAAATGCAAGTGCCGGTTCTCGGCTGCACTTTCCTCACACTGTCAGATCGTGAGGAAAGTACTGCTGAGAACCGGCAGTTGTCAGAGCGGGGATCGGCACCGATCATCAGGGCACTGATGATCAGTGCCCTGATGATCGGTGCCCAGCATTGCCACCCGCAAGTTCCGCCCAGCAGTGCGCCCACTAGCTCCGCCCACCCGTGCCCCAGCAGTGCACCCACCTGTGCCCAGCAGTGCACCCACCTGTGCCACTCTGCAGTGCCACCTACCTGTGCCTAGAAGTGCCACCTACATGTGCCCAGCAGTGCCACCCACCTGTGTGCCACCCACCTGTGCCCACCCACCAGTGCCGCCCACCAGTGCCACCCACCAGTGCAGCCCAGCAGTGCTGCCAGTCAGTGCCACCAGTCAGTGCCCAGGGGTTGTGCCAGTCAGTGCCGCCAGTCAGTGCCCAGCAGTGATGCCAGTCAGTGCCGTCTATCAGTACCCATCATCAGTGTCACCTATCAGTGCCGCCTATCAGTGCTGCATATTAGTGCCGCCTATCCGTGACACCTCATTAGTGCTGTCTATCAGTGCCGCCTATCCGTGACACCTCATTAGTACTGCCTATCAGTGCCCTTTAGTGCTGCCTATCAGTGCCAATCAGTGCCGCCTATCAGTGCCCATCAGTGCTGCCTCATCAACGCACATCAGTGAAGAGAAAAAATGCCTGTTTGAAAAATTTTATAATAGAAACAAAGAAACTTTTTTTTTTTCCAAATTTTTTGCACTTTTTTATTTATAGCGCAAAAAGTAAAGCACCCAGTGGGGAGTAAATACCATCAAAAGAAAGCTCTATTTGTGAGGAAAAAATGATCAAAATTTCATATGGGTACAATGTTGCATGACTGCGCAATTGTCAATCAAAGTGCGGCAGCGCTGAAAGCTGAAAATTGGCCTGGTAAGGAAGGGAGTATAAGTGCCCGGTAGGCAAGTGGTTAAGCAAACTTCACACCCATGGCAATCCCCCTTTGTTGTAAAAAGTATGAGCCTTTAAACCAAAAATAGTTGTGACCCATAGCAAAGTCTAATAGAGAGAGAATAAACTCGCACTGCTGTTCTCTTAACGTAACATCCCTCTGAAGGAAGCAATCCACACCTCCCTCCCATGTTCATGTGAGATAATAGTATAAAGGGAGGCTTCATGGGCCCTGGCCAGAATATAACTCTCTTTCCATTCAATTGTATTCAATATGTTGATCACTTGGGTAGTGTCTTTCAAAAAGGAAGGGGTAGTAAACATCACAGGCTGTAAAAAAGAATCAATATATTTACCAACCCTCGAGGTGACCGAGTCAATTCCACTGATAATCGGTCTACCCGGAAGGTTGGATAGGCTTTTGTGTATTTTAGGTGAGTATTAAATCACCGGCACACGGGGAGCTGCTGGAATTAGGAACAATTTCTCCTTTTTCATAATAATCTTTTGGGCAAAACCCGTTTCCACTATACCTTGTAATTCTCTCTTGAACTTAGCTGTTGGATTCCAATTTAATGGGAAATATGTGTCCCTATCCATGAGTAGTCTGTCCAATTCTGGGTAATAAGCTTCTCAGTCTAAAATAACAATCCCCCCTCCCTTATCAGCAGGGCAGACTACTATATCATTACGTGACTTCAAACAGTCCATAACCTGCTTGAATTTAAAATCAGAATAGGGAATTCTCCAAATTCTTAAAGATCAAATCCCTAAAGACTGAAACCGAAGCAGCAGTATTACCCGAGGGATTAAAAAGAGAAGCATTAGAAAGAGATGAGTTCTTAAAGGCATCAGTATCACATCCACTAATCCTCGATGGGTTAGTAATGAAATACCTCTTAATGTTTAGTTTCCTAATATACTTTTGAATGTCCATGAACGTTTCAAATGTATTCGGTGGACGAGGTGGTGCAACCTTTAAACCATGATTAAGTACATATTTCTCTTCATCTGATAGGTTAGCTTTACTCAGATTGAAGAGTCCAGAATCAACTATACCCGCCTTCTTTTTTTGATCAGACACGCCTCCCCCCTCTGATGCCTGCTTTTTTTTTCGATTGACCTTTTTACACCGGATCCTCCCCTGGGAAAAAAATTGGAGGATCTAAAATTGCCTCTGTTCTGATGTGGGGCAAAAGATCCCTCATTAGACCCCTGTGATGGAAAATCATTCCTTGGTGTACGCCATTGACCACTCCGCTGATTAGCAGGCTGAAAAGGGTGCTGAGTGAGGCAATTTGCACAGCAAATGTTTATTCAATATACCCTATCTGTTTATTGCATAGTAAACAAGAAACAGTCAACTGTATCTTTAACAGGAATCAGATTGTTACATGGTAGTTCTTTGTTTATTTTTAGATAGTGACAGTATGTTTCAGGGATTTAAATGTTCAGTCCAACCAAAAAGGATATTTAATTTCTAGTTGGCATCTAATTGGCTAAATCACCTACTACTGGTTGTACCTCTTGGAACCTAAAATGGCTGGATCTCCCAACATTCATTCTATTTCATTCCCAAAGCGATCGTTCCCACACTGGAGTTTTCCTGTCCTTTACACAACAAGGGTGTTCTCACTTCCCCCATTGCATTAATCTTAAGGTCCCTGTACAACTTTGATGCAATTCCATCACATCCAAGTTGCACTGCATAGTCACACTGAAAATCAGATCAAAAGTATATTGCAGCAGTGTGAACCTAACCTTATTAATGTAAAAAAAATTTAAATCTAAGGAGAGAGGGGCACAGTTACAGGCGTGCAGTTACATGAATGCAAATGCTGAAATGTCAAGTATAAGAAAAGGTTGAATGGTTGTAACACTCAGCATTTACCTATCAGTTTAGGTGGATTGACTTTTTTTCTACTTCAATAAACTTTTAAGAAAGAAGAACACTGACATAGGCATAATTAATGTTTTCGTTTACGTGACAGTTTTGACATAGAAAAGGTCCTCAGAGGCATGCAATGGGGTTGATTTACTAAATTTGAAGAGTACAAAATCTGGTGCAGCTGTATATGGCAGCCAATCAGCTTGTAACTTCCATCTTATTCAATTAAACTGATTGGTTTCTATGCAGAACTTCAACAGATTTTGCACAATCACAGTTTTAGTGAATCAACTACAATGTGTTATAGTGCAGTATATTAGCTTTCAACTCCAAGAAGGTGAGGAGTAGAGATGGCAATACGAGTGCCATATAGGGCACTAGAGGGTTTGCTGGTGACATATAAATGAGAGAGGTTAGAAAGTAGAAAGAAAAGGAAGGAGAAGAGGAGGAATAGGAAATGTAAGAGCAGTTAGGTGGGGTAGCATGGGAGGGGTGGAAGGGGAGAGCTGGTTAGGGGGAATGACGCTATTTTTAAACCTGGTGCACCATAGTGATTGTTATTAAAGGTCTACTAAATGTTGATCAAAGCTGTACAGAAAGTAGGTGGAGACCCATGGTTCCCAAACTTAGCAGAATTTGGTCATGTTACCTTGGAGCCTGGCAGTTTGTTTTTCCTTAAGTAGGGTCCAATGTACTCAAGATTTGACCTCTGAAACAGACAGGTTCCTCACGAGTCATTCATCTATCTGCTTCATGGCTTTAAGGATATGAGTAATTTGGTTAAATTGTTTAGACCCTCTGGTTTCTGGTTCAGGAGGGTCTCCAGTGGGTGCAGTGGCATTGCTTGGCAAAAACGTGTGCTTATCATATCATAAACCCGGCAAAATAGGCACTGCACCACTGGGTAGGTCCAACAGATATGAATGATGGTGCCTGCCTCCACAACAGCAGTGCTTGGAAGTTTCGGGATTGATGGCTAATCTAATGGGAACCACATACCACCGGAGTAGGCAGATTGACATTTAAATATACTGTAATATAAAGTATTACCAGCATAATGAGTATAAAGGTTTTTTATTATGACAAATGGCTTGATCCCTGTATATGAATTGATGTATCTTTTTGTTTTCTAACTTGCGTTATTTTCCTTTTCATGTTCATTATTACTCGTTTTCCAGGACAAAGTAAGTATTTATTTAACCTTTTGTTAAAAACTTAACATAATATCTTTGTTTTATTCATAAAAAATTACAATATACAAACAATAAACAAATGTGATAGCGGAGAGGAACTGTCACTGTAGGCCCATTACTTTGCTTTTTAAGGACATAGGATAATTGTTAACCCCTTCATGATGTAGGGAAAAACAAATCTTATCGCTTGAACACAGTTATGCAACTGTGATATGCGTATGCGTTAATAAAACTGCAAATCAGTGCGTGTACTTAATGTATTCAGGTGAATTATACCTTGTTCTTTTTAGGGCAAATTAGACTTTCATTTGGTGGTAAAGGATAATGGATATCTACTCATTTTTGTATTATTATTATTATCAAATGAAAACTGACACAAAATATGTCATTTTAATGACATCAGAATAATAAAAAAAAGTAACTGTATACTTTTTGCTATTACCATAATTTAGTTCTTATATCAGTGCACAGGTAAGAATTCTAGGTACCCTTCTTGGTAGCTGGAAATACAAGGTCCCCCCCTCCCCATCCCAGGTGAATACAAAAATGCACAAATCAAAAACCAGCACTATAATAAAATCCCAATATTTATTATAATCCTCAGGATCTTTTCACCTCTCTCTCACCAGATGTAAACACCCTTTATGTGTATGGGTCAGAATAAAGCTCGATCACAAAAATCATTAAAGTGTGTCTTCTCTTTATCCCATCACCTTCCACTCTTCCTCAAGGTGTTGCTACATTCAGCAATAAAGCAAAAGCAAGAAAAACAAGAACAAAAAAGAATACAGTGCAGTATGCTTCATTTTTTTAAAATCACACGCCAAATATTGTACTCACATTCCATAAATGTGTTCACACCAAATAACACCAAGTGCTCTTAGTGTTTCCAATCCCCTTTGTCTTATCTACTCTTACCAAAGATGAAATTTCAAATGTCATGTATCATATATTCTCATTTACTGCTTTCCTCTGACATTTTCAACATTGGAATCTTCAGTATTGAAATACCCAAAAAACAATAATTCTATAAGATGGCTGACCATGTACTTCCAGTTGCAGCATGCGTCTGGTGTCAGACGCCCGCCAGAACCAGACGTACCCAGTCAGTCATCTTGAAATTGGACTTTCACATTGTTTCTGCATATGTAAGCATTTAGTTGAGGAATAAATTATTTTAACTGTGTAAATACTTCACTGTAGTCCTTTTTTATTTTTTTTGCATGGTATTATTGAATATACAGTATTTATTGTGATCATCAGATGTGAGGATACGGTGGAGATTGTGGAGATACCTGTATATGCATATATAGCCCTTTGAACAGCAGACATAT